TATCTCGACACAGTTTCACAGGCTGTAGTAATGTTGTGGGTGTATGTTGGTGGGGGTGAAGAGACAGAATGTTCCAAGATCAAACAAGTTTGACAAATACCGGGTCAAAGAAAATTTATGGTGATACATCTCCCTACCTTCATTATGCTAATGTGGAAGAAAGAATGAGATAGAATAATGAGAAAGAAAATAATAGAACTCCACATACATCCCCAACTCATTATTTTCTCATTAGTTCCTCCACCTCAGAACACTTTGGGCCAGGTAGTTCATTGCTGTGGGAACTTTCCTGTGCATTGCAAGATGTTTAGCAGCATCCCTGGTCCCTGCCCACTAGATGCCCGTAGCACACCTCCCTTTCCCCCACATCGTGACAACCCAAAATGGCTCCAGGCATTGCCAAATGTCACATGAGTGGCAAATACACACCTGGTGAATCCCCTGTTTAGGCCATAGAATTCTCTTCTTCATGGAGGAACTCAAAGGACTCATGTTGCGGGAAACTCACATCTGGAAACACCACTTTAGTTCACTTATGCTCACCTTGTAGCGGAGGAAATGAAGACCCAGGGAGGTGAGGTTACTTGCTCACATCAGTTATATAACTTGAGTGATGCACGTAAGAGCAATATTTCCACAGGGGCTTCATCCCTATCCTAGCACCTCTTGGGTGACTCTGACAATGGGGGCTGGGGGTGGAATATGGAGGCAGGCCTCACTCAGCTCAGCAAAGCCCTATCTTGGTCACTGTTCTGCAGATATTCAAATTCTCCAGCCATGTTTTTTCCTCTTATTGATGCAGCTCATGGACCCAGGGCACTTAGACACTCATCAAAAGAAAGACCAGCTCATGGCTGACCCTGCGGTCAAGATCATACTGTAATGAATTTCTGTTTTCCAACCAAAAGCACTGGGAGGCTAAGTTCAGAGACGATCCCTTTTCCTTAATCAATTTCCCTGAAGTCCCCTTTCCTTAAGGATTTCCCAACAATGGTAGTATTGGGGGCCAAAGTTGACCTCTTGTGTCTCTTCTCCCTGAAGAACCTTTGGAATGGGGGCAGATTTCCACTTATTGAGGCTGATGTGATGTGGAATTAGGATCAGGGGTGTAAATGGTAGAGGGTCAGATGGAGTCTTAGAGAGCAAATGCTGTGCTTTCTAGAGTGTTCAAGCAGAGGCCAAATCCCAAGGTCAGGGGGACCCACAGGAGGGGAAGTTGGACTAGGTACAAATTTAGTACCCACCCTGCCTCTGCATGGGCTGGCCTATGGATCATTCTAGAAGCAGGGACACACCTTAGGCCTTTCTCAGTCCACTGCAGCTTTGGGTTTCAACCACCTCGATGTTAACTTTGGAAGACTAAAGAGACAGTCTGGGGCCAGTTGCTTCCGGTCTGGGGCAATGAGCACTCGGTGCTCTGCAAAGCTGTTCTCACCCACCAAGTACACACACGGTGTTGACAATGTTAGCTGTCACCCCTACTGGGCTTGCCATGGGGCTGGCACTGTCCAGCAGCCTTTACACTTACAACTCGTTTCATCTCTACAGCCTCCCGTGGCAGGCACTGTTATTGTGCCCATTTACAGACGAGGAAACTGAGACACAAGAGTTCAGTAAGTTGCACAAGGTCACAGAACTAATAAGTATAAGAGCCAGCTTTGAAATCCAGGTGGTCTAGGTCCAGAGGCTCTCAAACTCTGTGCTACCCAGCCCCCCTACATGCCTGAAAACACAGCTCTGAGAGCCCCGCCATTAAGGTGATAAGGACACTGTGGACTGGTCAGGAAACCACCCAGGGCATGGTATGTGATTGGGAACGACTGGAAAGACAGGAAAAACCAACTCTTCCTTTTAAAAAGGCCTTATGGGAAAATGACATCTTTAAAGCAGAATCTGATCAACCACCTTCCTAAAGGGTGATATTCTAGAGTGATCAGCTGCTTCTCTTCCCGCGCGGACGGACACCAAGGTGAGGTGGTCACCAAGGTGAGGTGGTCACCAAGGTGAGGTGGTCACCAAGGTGAGGTAGCCACGCTGCGGTTTGGTAGCCTTGCCGGGCATGGTCTTTGCTTGAGGCGCGTGATGTGTGGAACGCAAAGCAATGCTGCCACCTGCTGGAGGAATGGATGATTTCCTCCGTCTTTCCTGAACAATTTAACAGCGGTGGAAAGAAAGGAGAGAGATTTCAATCTCAACCCATCTCCCCATGTGCTGAGTTGGTGCCCACTTGTGATCATGGCCAAAGACATAATTTTGGTGCACCTCACATTAGAGCATAAGTATATTTCCAGGTCTGTTGACGCTTGAAGAACAGACTTCCCTCAACCTCCACAGCCGCCACTGACACTCCAGGCATCATTCTCTCTCCCCTGGACCTGGAGCCACCTCCAGCTGATCACCTGCCACCTTTTCCTCCCCTACACACGTCCTTCTCCAGGTGATCCCTTTCGACGGAGGGCAGAGCACATACTCGCCTTCATATAATCCCCCGGCGGGTTCCTGTCGCGCACAGAGAAAAATGCGGACTCTTACCATGGCCTGGGCAGCCCTACACCATCTAGCTCCTGCCCGCTCTCCGATCGCCCCCTAGGTTCCTGCAGCCATGACCCTCTGTCTGTTTTTTGCACATGGAAGGCTCCTTTGCACCTGGGGTCTTTTGTATTTGCCATTCTTTCTGCCAAAAGGATGCCATGGACCCAAATTTGCAGTCTATCAACTCTGTGGCCCATGGCCACAGTGTCTCCTGCGTGCCCCCCATTCCCACCCCGGCTGGGGTTCGGGGCAGACGAGTGAGGCCGAGGTGAGCCAGGGCCCGTAGGATCCTCTCTTTATTTGAAATGTTGATATTTTGTTCATCATGAGTTTTTTGACATTAATTTTTAAAAAATATTGCACAAAACATGATTTCTCTTGAATCTTGAGTTTTCAGGCTCCCCCGAAGTTTATGCCTGAGAACGAGTGCCTCGTTCCCCTCCCGCCAGTTCTTCCCCGCCTTCTCAAGCATCTTTCCCTTCTCATTTCTTCCGTGGCAGCCCTGGCTCAGAGCCTCATCTCGTCAGCCTACAGTTCCTGGCTCCCATCCAACCTCAACGCGGACCCAGCATTATCTTCCTGTGTAGAGGTTGAGTTGTGAGCCTCTCTCTCCCCAAATCCTTCAAAGTTTCCTGCCTCCTTTGGGTCCAAAGCCTGTCATGCTCACTGGCTCCATGTTCACTAGGCTCCACGTTCTGGGTCCTGTTAACCTTTCTGGCTTCCTCCCCGGCCAAATCCCTCAGTTCTATGCTCATCTACGCACCCTTCCCCACATGTGTCCCGTGAGGGACCACGTCTCAGCCAAACCCATCGAGTGGCTATTTATATTGCCTCATTCTTCCTCAAAATAAAAAAATCAAAAGCATCACCTTCTTCACCTCCTGCCGGCGACTGTGCACTCTTCCCTCCTCAACACCAACGAGGAGGCTCACACGTACACGTTCCAGTACAAACACAGCAGACTGTACACGGCAGAAGCCGCAGAAACTTCTTCAAAGCAACACAAGAGGTTGAGTGAGAAAGCCCTCAGCCCAATGTCGCTAACTAAGGTCTGACCAGCACTTACAAGCTAGGATTGGTTTTGCTTGTATTATCTCAAAAAGATAGCATATGGGTAGGGGCGAGGAACATGGGCTTTGGAGGCAGGTGGACTCAGATGCCGACACCAACTCTCCCAGGCACGACCTGTGGGAACTTAGGTCATTTCTCTTCTCTCAGCCTGTTGTCTTACTTGTGAAATGAAGATGTTGACATAAATTCATAGAGATGTTATAAGGAATATTAACATACCAGTCTGACTCTTGATTCCTAAGAAGGACTATAAGCTACAGGTAAGAATAAAACACTGCTTTAAATTTGATCTTATTTATCTTATCCCATGTACCTAAATTTCTATTTAAAAGAGACCTGGCTTAGGGGCGCCTGGGTGGCTCAGTCGGTGAAACGTCTGCCTTCGGCTTGGGTCATGATCCCGGGGTCCTGGGATCGAGCCCCGCATCGGGCTCCCTGCTCGGCGGAGAGCCTGCTTCTCCCTCTCCCTCTGCCACTCCCCCTGCTTGTGCTCTCTCTTTCACTCTCAAATAAATAAATAAAATCTTAAAAAAAGAGAGAGAGACCTGGCTTAAACAGTGAATGGGAGCACAGCTCTGGATGCATCCAGGATGTGAAAACAAGTAACAGGATGAGAAGATACCAGATTGGTAGGAGACACTCATTTCTTTCACGTGCTCGATATTATCCCACTGAATCTCACACACACACACACACACACACACACACACACGACTGGACGGGGTTAGGGGAGAACCAGTACCACTCTATTGCCCGCCCCTCCTGTTTGAGAAGTTCATTCGGAATAGGATTAGGGCATGTGAGTCCCGGGGCTATGACCCCCAAGCTCCAGACTGAAGATGTGCCGGGAAGGGACCCAGGCCCAGGACCCTTCTCAAGTAGGAGACAGTACATAGGAGATAGGAGAAAATAAACCAGACTCACATGTCTCAAGAAAGCATATAAATAAAAGAAATCTTAGGAAAAATAAATTCATAACGGTTTAGTGATTTACCTCACCTTTTTAATTGATGTCTATGATTTTATTGTTATTACTAAAATCACATTGTTCATTGACAGTAGTTTCTCACAATTTAAGTCTATAAATACCTTATGTTCAGTTTTATATCAATGAGACAAAATCCTAAAGGGCAGGGATGACGTTCTACTCAGCGGTGCCTCCCTTGACTTAGTGTGCGGAAGAGAGATGACAAATGCAGGGTGGATTTGTGCGCCTCTAAGAGAGCTACAGAGAGTCAACTGCTTCAACCAGCAGCTCCGGGCACTGCTAAGCAACTCAAGCTCCTCTTGAAATTGATGCACTTGCAGAAGTAACGTGTACTCTCTATACCAACCCTGGAATGAGGAAATTCCGTAATACGGATACAATTACAAAATGGCATTTAAGTCAGAAAAAAAACCGGGAGTAAACGGATCGCTGGTTGCATTTTTGTTCATTGAAAGTACCAATCCATTTCACAAAACAAGCTTTATAGAAAGAGGAACAGGGTAATTTGTCTTGTCAGTTACAATTCATACAAAAATAGGCTCCAATATTAGCTACACACAGCCACTCAAATACGATTTAAGAAGTAACAAAGAAAAGCTCTTTAAAAAAATACAGTAGCAGCAAAAACACTGAACATTTGTAAACAAAACCACCAGTAACAAACCCATGCTTAATAACAAAAAAACGTGCATTCTTTTTAAAACATTAAATATATATAATAAAAAACAATATTGGCCATTTTTTCTTAACATACAATGCTCAACATCTGAAACAATATGTTGAATAATAGACACGAATCGGTGTTATAAGGCATGTTGAACAGTCTTTTCCACGACACTCAGGGCATCATGTTGCTGCAGAAGGTAAACTCTGCAAAAGTCTTCTCCTAGCTGTGATCCGCGCACACCGGGGGCACTCAGAGGCCTGGAAGCACTGCTTGTGGAAGCAAGCTCTGCACCCTACAAGTGGGAGGACAGCCATCAGCGAGCGGCCTACCTCGTCTTCTCACATGTGTACAGATGCTCATCCCCACCCTGGGGAGAGAGGTTGTCTGAATCCAGAAACCAGTCGTGCAACAGGAAATGAGGAAGGTTGTGGAAACTGCGGGATTCTGAAGTCCCCGCTATGTCATGAACATGAGGCTGAGAGAGTCTGATGCAGGGAATGCTGCCGTACACCACCCCCACACACCCCAATCTGCCCCAGGACTGCTGCCCCAGCTGCTGAGAGTGTTGGTAGCTGACACTCAGGAGGCGGCCCTAACTGGAAATGGCCCTAACTGGAGAGACCTGCCTCCCTCCCTCCCTCCCTCAAGGTCATCTCCCTTTGCTGGCACTGGCCTACATCCGGTGACTGATCAACACGGGGTTTAAAGGTCTGGCTGGCCCCCGTCCCCAGTATGTGACAACACGAAAGACCATCTTGCTTCAGAGTGCCCTGTGAGATGTGCTGAGCCTTCGTTGCTACCACACCACGGTTCACCTTCTCCCTCTGCCAAGTCCTGCTGACTTCACACCCCCACAGGTGTGGAGCCTGAGAACACGCCCCAGGAGCTTTCCGCATGCACATCCATGCACTGGAGCCTCTCCTACGATCCTGCCTAAGGGGCTTGGGGAGACAGTGCTGGTGTGGTCTAAGGGGACGAACGGCTCTTATCAAGGGTAAAGGCAGAATGCATGGTCAGATCTCTCCCATGAAACAGCTTAGAGATCACGGGATTTCCTCAAGCATGAATACATATAGTCAAACGATGTCTGAAAATCTCTGCTGTGAAGAGTCACACAGTAAACGCGTTAGGTCTTTCAGGGTACATGGTCTCCGTGACAATGACTCAAACTGCCCTTGGAGTGCGAAAGGTGCCAGAGACAGCACCTTGGCATTAGGCATGACCATGATCCTACTCTAAAACTGGGGTGGTGGCTGTGGCTTATCCTGGTGGGAAAGAACGGGGGCACAGGGAAAAGGGGGACCACTCTTCCCTCCAAACACTATATGGGGAGACGTCACCCTTCGTCCACACCCCACCCAAATACTCCTCCCCAGGCACCCAAAATTCCACGAGCTCCTACCCAACATACAAGCACGCACCAGCATCATTATACCTTAAACAACGTTGCACTTGAATGATTAAGTTGCCATTAAGCTAATTTCGTGCTTCAGTTATTAAGCTATTATCAAGCTGACGTTATGAAGTTATTAAGATACCTGCACATCTTCTACATGTTTCGGTCTGAAAGGGGAAGATGACGGCTGTACTCTGGCAAAATTCACAAATGAAGCCCTTTCCTTGACACAGCTGCAAGAGAAGGGGCCCAAAAGTTAAAATCCTCCTTGGCAACGTTTCTTCTGATGGAGAAGCCAAGTCACTACTTTTACAGAACTTTATAAACATCTGTTTTTAAGTGTCTGGAACCCCAGCTCTAGAAGGAACAGGATGCTGTATCACGCTATAGTAGAGTAAACGAATGTGAACGGTATGTGTGCATCTGCTTTGCCTGGAGAGATTTCACAGCCCTGGATCCCAAGTCCACACGGCTGTCCTTGGCACGGCAGGGCAGATGGGAGTCAGGCAAGGCCCCGAGCAGGGCTTGGCACCGACACTAAGAAGTCACTTGGCCCAGGCTTGCTGCCCAGCCCTGCCACTTGCCAGCACGACGATCTTGGCGGTTACTGAATAGCTCTGAACCTCATTTCCCTCATCTGGAAATAGTGTTCCCCGCACTCCCCTCCCGGTTGGTGGGGGTTAAATGAAGTCAAGTGCAGAACACCCATCCCAGGTCCTGATGGGTAAGGGACAGCTCAGGGACACACCAGTCCCAGGTGCACCTTACCTCACAGCTGGCCACATGTGCAAGGGAAGCTTTTAGAATGTCCTTGAGCAAGGGTGCCAGCAGCCTTTTCTTGACCCTGACCAGATCCTCCAGGGAGAACAGGTGGAGCTCATCAGTCAAATGCCTCGGCACCTGCTCAAACTCCTTTAGCTCGCTGCCAGGGAGGAAACAAAGAGCAATTCAGACAGCCACCCACGCAGAGGCCACGACACAAGAAGGCTGAGCGGGCAGTGGTTTTCTCTGGTGCTCACACTTAATTTTTTTTTTAACTCAATTAAAAAAAAAACAAAACACAACAAAACCAAGAGCAAGTTGACCTGACTCACCATCTGACATTGTGCAAGTCTGTTTGGAAGCCAGGAACTTAAAATTCCATAAAAGCGGATTTCAAAAAGCTGAACCAGCAGAAAAACCTATCTCTTGTAGTCTGCCTATATAGATACTGAGCAAAAGACAACTGCACATTGATTTTTCAAGTCTTGGAAACATGTACTGAGATTTAAAAAAAAAAAAAAAAAAGACTACCTTACTCATTCCAGCTCAATTTCAAGTCCATCCGCGTGCTGACTATTGTCCAGCCAACAGGAGAAGCACTGCTCGTAGGCAGGTGCACGACTCCCCCATCCAGGAGTCCACCACTGAGCACAAGACCCAAGCATCCAACTGTGAGCTGATTGTAGCCACCTGTGTGTCCCAAGGACATTCACATACTGATTGTAACTTTCTCCAACCCCTACTGATCTCCTCCTGAATTCCCTAAATCAGTTAGTGGCATCACCATGCACACATGCCCAAGCCAGCCACTGCCTACACTGGACTTGACATTCCAGTCATGCCAAACTGGGCTGAATTCTCCATCTGGCCTGAGATGCTCGCTCACACTGCATCCTCTGCTGCGGGATCCCTGACACTTCTTCTTCAGTCCGACTTGCTCTTCAAGCTCAGCCTTTTTCTCCAAGAAGCTCTGTGGCCCTCTTCCCCACCCCACCCCTTAGGACCTAAATGTTGCCTCTTCTGCGTCCTCAGGGCCCCGTGCATCTGTGTCTAACACACAGTCCGGCAATGATGGGTGTGTGCTTTCCCCCTGGACGTAACATGAGTCCTGTGGATTGTTTATCTGAAGCACAGAATGGATACTCAAGAAATTTTTGTAGACAGTAATTGTGGGGAATGTTATATGTTACAGACAAGAAAACTGACAGCCTGAGAAGTAATTAACCTGTCACACCACCACCATGAGGTAGAGCTTAAGGCCAAATAACTACAGGAGACGTGCTCCTCCCCAAGAAATTTAATTCAAAAGCAATACATTATCATTAAATAAAGATCAGAAACTGAAAGAAGCTTTAAAAGAAAACAATTTTTTAAAAACTATGATCCTATTGTAACAGATAATCTTAACCCCTTGAGTAACCTATTTTTTCACTTAAAAAATTCTATCTCTGTCATTGAATTCATGCCTATACCTTTATGCCATGGCTGCCCGAAATTCCACCTCTAGAAGTTTACCCTAAGGACATATTACGGATGTGCACAGAGACTCATCTAAAGCCTAATTTTTTTAATAACAAATAGTATTAAAAATCTAAGTATCTATCAGATATTAAAATCTATTAGGTTTAATATCAATAGAGATATTAAAGTCTATTTTAATATAAAGATATTAAAAATTTACTAGATTAAAAATCTACCAGTAAGAGAACAATACTGACATTAACACCACATCATACTATAGAATACTACACAGTAATGACAGTTGGACACACCTCTCTATCCGGGCTTTTGATTCATTGATACACTCATGCTCATAGCGGCACTATTCACAACAGCTAAAAGGGAAAGCAACCCAAGATGGCTGAATGGGTAAACAAAATGTGGTAGATACATACAATGGAATATTTTTCAGCCCTAAAAAAGGAAGGAAATTCTGACACATGCCACAACATGGGTGAACCTCCAGGACATTATGTTGAGTTCAATAAGCCAGTCACAAAAGGAAAATACTATATGACTGCACTTATATGAGGTACCAAGAGGAGTCAGTTCATAGAGACAGTAAGGAGAATGGTGGTTGCAGGGGAAGAGGGAGTTACTGCTAGATGGATATAGAATTCCAGTTTTGCAAGATAAAGAAGTTCTGTTGATGGATGGTGGTGACAGTTGCACATGAATTTGAATGTACTTAATGTCACTGAATTGCGCACTCCAAATGGTTAAGATGGTATATTTTGTTATGTGTATTTTATCACAATTTAAAATAACAACAACAATAATAATAATGGCCACTGGCCAGAGTTATTTCATCCTTGTTTTGGCCAATTCTTCTAACACGTTAAGTTCTCTACTCGTGAACCAGGAGGTTTAGTAACCTTAACGACAGGGTCTACATCACCAAGGAGGGGCCCCGAGGGAGTTGCTGTGCTAAGGGGCCCTGTGGACTGGAGGAGGTGGGACCAGGTGGCACCCAGGGGACTGGCAGGTGTGTTGAGGCTCCCAGCCCTCCCTGCCCCTCAGGCCCGGCCTGGCCCAGCCAACCCCAGTACCTTTCAGCAAACCTGCAGGTCTTCAACAGCTTCTTGATATGAAAAAGCTGCTCCCGGGTTTCCTAATGTGAGAAACCAAACGGAGGAAAAGTTAATGTGATCAATGGCACAGGAAATGTATAAGTCCAATTTAAATGTTATTTCTAACTTTGAAATGCTACAACTCTATAAGACAAGCCTTTGAAGTAAACAGTCTATATAGCAGGGGTTCCTGACTGAGTCCAGGAGGGACCCATGTTGAGTGGAGCCTGAAGCTTACACAACTCTTGGGGGCCTTCTTTGAAGAAAACACAAAACTATGTATAAAAGATGGAGATCCTGCCCTTTGTGGCAACATGGATGAACTTGGAGGGCACTGTGCCGAGCGAAATGAGACAGAAACAGAAAGAAAAAACTGCATGGTCTCGCTTACACGTGGAATCCTAAAAAAGTCAAATACACAGAAGCAAAGAGTTGAACAGAGCTCTCCAGGGATGGGGAGGTGGGGCAAATGGGGAGATGCTGGTCAAAGGGAACAAAGGTGAAGTTATGTAGGATGAATAAGTCTAGAGATCTAATATACAGTATGATGACTATAGTTAATAATACTGTATTGAGGACTGGAAATTTGCTAAGAGAGTACATTTCAGATGCTCTCACCACACACACACACCGTAACTGCGAGGAGATGGATATGTTAATTATCTTGACCAGTAATTATTTCACTTGTATTTGAATATCAAATTACCATGCTGTGCACCTTAAACATAAACAGGTTTATTTTAAAACTACTAATAAATAAATTTCAAAAGCTATGTATACATGCAAAACTATGCGTAAATACGAAATTTCGTACGGGGCCTTGGAAGGGGGGTCGTGAAACTAAAGCTCCAGCGGCTGGCGGTAAATCCGCCCCGTGGAGGGTCCGCCTGGGTCCCCCCGGAGACCGTGCGAGGCGCATTCGCGGCCAGGGACGTTGGCGCCACCGGCCCCGCCTCCCCTCGCGGAGGCAGCTGCTCACCCTCGCTCTGTCCAGTTCCTTGGCCTTGGCGTACAGGCCGGGGCCAACGCTCAGCAAATTGAAAACGGGCTGGTGCCACAGGCCGTCCAGCAGCCGTCTGGAGAAATGGCTGACGTAGTATTTCCTGAAGTCCCACGTGGTCAGGATCCGGGCAGGGATGTAGGTCTCCTCATACGTGTGGCAGCAATCACAGAAATACTTCCCCAGGTAAGTGCAGTACCGCAGGCGCTTCACAAACTCTGCGAGAGCACACGGGGCGGGGTTGGGGGGGCGGAGCACAGCTCACCTGGGCTGGCAGCCCCCCGCCCTCCGCCCCCCGCCCCCCGCCCCCCATTCCCACCGGGGTTCAAGCCTCGGACTGCTGGGTTTGCACTGGACCCCGCAGCAGCTGCGAAAGCTCGGGCGGGAACTGGAGGCCGTCTATTATGGCCACTCCCGAGTGCTGCTTTCCAAAAACAGGTGTCAGAAAAAAGAGAAACCTCCCCCCAGCCCCAGTACTCCTGAATTTGGAAGACGGGCATTGTAAAGTGCAGCGTAGCCAAAAGAACAGGAGATTTAGAGTCTAGCAATCCGGTGGGCGTCCGCCCTCTGCCTGCGGCTGGCAGGCAGCCTGAGGGCTGGTGGGAATCTCTTCAGGCTAACTAGCCTGAGGCCATAAAAAGCAACTCAGAACTAGATTCTGGGATATCACATGGACCGAAAGTGCTTGGTAAATTGTCAAGCACCCTACGCACGCTCTTAGGGAGTAGCACCCCAAAGACTTCCTGGATAAATCCGTGGGAACCACATTACAGAAATGCACCAAGGAGGGGAATAGGTGAGACGTGGAAACACGGAAAATGCCGATGACCAGGAATGATGTGAAAGACCATCTCAACAACAAAGACGCGCCTGTTGAGTGAACTCTTTGGTTTTGCATCAAACTCTCACAAAAGTAGAGGACCCAGAGCAGGCGAGGTGCAGAGGGGCGGACACTCACTCTCAGGGCTGACAGGAGGGGACTTTCTCAGAGGACATCTCCATGATATACTTTTCAGTGTGTAGCGGGAATCCTACTTCCGTGACACCAGACAGAAATGCTAACCATGCACCCATGGAGATACAGACAGGTGTTCATACAGCACATTTATAGTGGGAGGGGGGACAGCAATCTAAAGATACATCAAGAAGCAACTGGCTAGACAAGTATGGTGCACTCAACAATGAAATGACAGAGAACCGATGAATTTCATGGATGAGGGTGGGCAGTGGACATCCGGTTCCAGATAGGTATACTGCGACCTTGATTTTGCTTTTAAAAACACACATACACAGTCCAAAGGATCCTCACCAAAAAGCCAGTAGCGAATACTTCTAAAGCACGGGAGAAAGGATTTTCGTTCTTTTGCATTTTTTAATTTGCTAAAATGAGCATGCATTGCTTTCAGAAATATATCTAACAAAATATATCCACAAGCAAAAGGTATAGGGACGAAGACAACAAATCCCTGGGTACCCACCACCAAGTTTAAGAAGAAGACAGCAATTCAGTTAAGTCTCCCCTGGGTCCCTCCCTCAACATCTGAGTCTAAGATGAACGAGGATGATATTTATCATTCACCCTTTGACTCACGGGTTTCTTTGTAATGAAAATACCATAAGGTATAATACAAATATTAGACGATACAGGCTGCGAAGATGAAACGAATCGCTGGGTGGGAAAGCAGCTACCAAAGTACCTGGCACACTGCAGATTCTAAATCTAGTTTCCTCATACCAGCTTCCAGAATAAACAAGGCCGCTTATATCTTAATGAAAAGAGATGTTACTTGCATAAAGTGAGCTTTCAATGAGTTAGGTACATTGCTAGTCTTGTATGCTTCTGCACATATGTTTACCAAAAAAATAAAATAAAATAAAACCAATCAATCAATCAATCAATCACCAGGGCCTGAGTGACTGCAGGAGCAATCCTTTACTGAGCACGCACTTTGTGTCATGCTCTGGTTAAAAGTCTCACCTATGGTGTGTCATTCTCTGGGGCTATTACTTCCCTTATTTCACTGATGAGAGCAGAGACAGGGAATAATAAGCTGCATATGCCAGAGACACACAGGGAGCTGGCCAGTGGGATTCCCACCCACGTCTGCTCTGAAGCTCCAGCTTTTGGCCATCACAGCTCCCTCATCCTCTGCCGCATTCAACGGAGGGCAAGGGCAAGGAGCTGATGCCTTTGTGCTTGCCCAAATTATCCCTCAGACCCCGGTAGCACCCATTGATTCTTATTATTTACAATAGTTTATGTTCTATAAAGCTGTCATGAACACCAAATTTGTGAAGACTGAAGTATGCTCCTGAGGGAAATACAGGTTTAGGCTTCTGTGAGCCTGTGGTAATAACATTTTCACCAACTGGTCAGTATATAACCTTGTTTCATGTGTGTTTTCTGCTAAAAGACACCGTATTTAATATATTTTGTTATAATTTATTTTTAACAACCTTATGTATATTACCAATAATATACCAATAATAATAATCTTATATATACATTACCAATATATTCTTAATATATTATCTTGTTATAGTATATTTTGTTATATCATTGAATTCAGGGCCAACAGAACTATCTATAACTCACACCTGAATGAAGCTTATCTAATGCATGTATATTTTCCATAAAGCAAATCATAACCTTCTCGTGCTTAGAAGCACTTCAGTACTACACGTGGGGGATAATTTAAACAGCTAAATCACCAACAAAAAATGCAAAACTGTAAAAAAAAAAGGCATTCAATAAACCGTGAGATGGCCTTATTTACAGTATGAGAAATAAAACAAGAAGGCAGAGCATTGCCTTCTGCTGGAAACGTGTGCATAGGGCAACTCAAATTTCAGGCAACTCAAATTTTTGGAGCTTTGTGCCTATTTGGGCATGTCTATGAAAACACCATGAGTAATGATGTTGTGGTCACCAATAAATATTATCGAGTAGATGAATCTGCAAATATGGAATCATAAATAACCGGGTTCAACTATAAGTACACACAACTAGGGTTGACGAATTATTGTTAAGAACTTGTTAAGTGCTTAATGTCTGAGTTCCTAAATTTCAAATCTTGGGAAGTCAGTTGTATGTGTCTACTTCCCACCCTGGATTAAGATTTCTGATTTGGCAGATAATGAGTATTTTTTTGCTCGTGACAGGGCCTTGATACATTTTCTATAAAATGGGCAGAAAGGAAGGTATGCTCTGGTCCTTGCACTCTACATTTCTTTTTTTTTTTTTTTAAAGACTTTAATTATTTATTTGAGAGAGAGAGAATGAGAGATAGAGAGCACGAGAGGGAAGAGGGTCAGAGGGAGAAGCAGACTCCCTGCCGAGCAGGGAGCCCGACGCGGGACTCGATCCCGGGACTCCAGGATCATGACCTGAGCCGAAGGCAGTCGCTTAACCAACTGAGCCACCCAGGCGCCCGCACTCTACATTTCTGATCAAACTTAGCAAGATGAGAAAAGAGAGGGGGACAGACGGGGCCAATAAATTTTCCTGATGTAATTCATCTTTCCCTAAAATCTGCAATCTTAACATTTCAATATCCAGTCACTCATTCATCAAATTTCATTGACTATCTACTAAGTACTACACTATCAATATAGAATAATTATGTCTCTCTCTTTCGGTTTCTTGAGTCCTTTAATTAAAACAGAGCCAGACGACGCATCCTAAACCAGCGGTTCTAGACCAGGGGTGATTTTTTTTTCTCCCTAAGAATATTTGGAAATATCTGAAGATATTTCCAGTTGTTGTAATTGGGGAGCCACCAGGGGCATCTGATAATGCTACTGAACGTCTTAGAATGTACAGGACAGCAGGACAACAAAGGTAGTAATACTGAAATTGAGAAGCCCTGCTCTAAAACCACAACTGTTCTCATTGGAGGAGAAGTCAATGAGACAGAAAAAAAAAAACAGGAAGGACAAATTCTAGAACAGTGCTGTCCAACAGAACTTTCTGGGAGGATGGAAATGTTCTAAGCCCGTGCCATCCAATGTAGTAGCTACGAGACCCATGTGGCTACTGAGCACTTGAAATGTAGCTAGTGTGCCCAAGGAACTGGATTTTTAACTTTAATTAATTTAAATTAAATCTTAAATAGCCACATGAGCTAGTGGCTACCATGTTGGATTGTGCAGGTAGAGAATAAAGATGGCTAAAGAGAAATAATAACTAAATGCAGCGTATGAAACTTGGTTAGAACCTGGATTGAAAAATTAGCTATAAACGACATCATGAGAAAAACAAACAAATATGGACTAGTATGAGAGAATATTTAGAGAATTGTTATTAATTTCCTTTGGTGTGCTAACTGTTCATCATCCTTATTTTTAGAACACACTGAAGTATTAAAGGGTAAACTGTCATGTTGTCTGCTTACTTTTCAAATGGTTCAACATGTGTGAGACTGGAGGAAACAAAGGAGACCTGACAACTACGTGCCATGTGCAATTCTGGATTGGACCCGGGAGCAGATCAAGGTCATGGGTGAAATCTGAATAAGTCTGTACCTGAGTGAATAGGATTGTACCAATGCAAAGTTCTCAGTTGTAGTAATTATACTCTGATGATTATAAAATGTTAACAGGAGGGGAAGCTGGATGAAGGGAATACAGAATATCTCTGTACCATTTTTGCAACTCTTCTGTAAGTCCAAAAATACCTTAAAATAAAAATCAAGGGGCACCTGGGTGGCTCAGTCAGTTAAGCATCTGCCTTCAGCTCATGTCATGATCTCAGGGTTCTGAGATCAAGCCCCGAGTCAGGCTCCCTGCTCGGCAGGAAGTCTGCTTCTCCCTCACCCTGCTCGTGCTTGCTCTCTCTCTCTCACATAAAATCTTTTTTAAAAAATTTAAAAAATAAAAAGTCAAAATATATCCTAGGAACTATACAGGAAGTTCATAGGAAAAGTCCAAAATTGCCTCCGTGGCTGATAACGCATCTACCATCTGTGCCCTGGGCACCTGTGAGCATGCTTTCTTCTCTCCTTATTACTCTCTGGTCACACAGGATTTCTCTGCAATCGCTGCAGGCCCTTTGCTCAGGGTGACCCCTACCCCTGCAACACACATGCACATGCTTCTGGGGATGACCACTTCCCTACAGAACTTCTCCCTCCCAGCCCCCCAAGCCCAGATTCAGTTCCCATGAGGTAAATCCCACAGCACTCTGGACTTTCTCTTTCATTGCAAGCATCATCCTTGCTGTTCACTTGGTTGATGACTCTGCCTTCCTGTAAGCAAGCTCCGTGAGGGAAGGATCGTGTTTATGCCACCAGGGAAGGCATACATCTCCGTAGCTGAACAAACTTAGGGAGATCGTTTAAAAGTTGGTGGAATCACAGTCACGTGTTCATAGTTTCTGACTCATGCACTCAATCATGCACTCGATACTGAGGAACGAGAATACAGTGGTTAACCAAACAGGCACAGTCCGTACTGGACTAGCTGGGAGGATGAGTCCTTGTAACTGAAACCATTTACAACTATGATGAATGGTGGGCACTGTCATCATTCAATATGGTAGAAGGAATCCCAGACGGATTGCTGTTTTCTGTTTTTATTTCCTGAGGTGGAGCTCCTCAAAGTCTTTTTCCTTCCAAGACTCCCTATCAAAGGCCAAAAGAACCCTTTCCAGCAAAGCTCCTCTTCCCAGCCTTCTATAGGTCAGACCTGTGGATGCCCTCATAAGCAGAACAAGTGATTCAAAGTCTTCAGTGGGCAACTTGCATTTCTGACTGGAAGAAGTCTGATTTTCTAGGCCCCAGCTGGCCCAGGAATGATTCTTTTAGGCCACCTCCTCAAACCCTCTCAGAGGAGTTTGGCTAGCTCCTTGATAAGCCATTCAAGCCTGGAACAAGTCTCTTTTGAGGAAACTGCACCAGGTGCTCTTGTAAGAGCAGGGGATAGAGCAATGAATAAAACAGACAACATGTCTGTCCTCATGGAACTTTGAATCTAGACAGGGACACAGACCAATGATAAGAAAAATCAGTAGAATCTAAAAGAGTATTTTAGGAAGATAAGTACTAGAATGAAAAATAAGGAAGGGTAAAGTGTACACGTGTATGTTTGTGGCCAGGAGTGTGGCAAGGTGGACATTTTCAATAGGGCAGCCAGAGAAAACCTTGTAACTTCTGAGTGAAGATGTGCAGGAAGTAAGGGAACCAGCCATGGGGATGTCATTCTAGGGCGAGAAAAGCAGAAATGAAAATCCCTAAGTCAGGAGTGAGCCTGCCTCCTTCAAGGACCAGAAGGGAGGCCATGTGGCTGGAGCTGAGTGCCCAATGGGGAGAGAACTAGGAGATGGTCCAAGAGGTAACAGGCCAGCCATGTAGCCTTATAGGTCACGATGGCCTCTTCGTGAAAGAGAGGGCAGTATCATGAAGTTCTTGTAACAACTTCATCAAAGGCATCGCTCACAAAAACAGTGCACTCTCCAACTTTGCTATTCTTCCCCCGTCACTGCATACTCAACAGGTAATTCACTGCTCATACTTACTAGGTTCTATTGGAGTTCCACAACCAGCACACAAAAAATTCTGGGCTGCTACCACGAGTTCCCTCCTGAGTACATAAAATGATCACAGTTACAGTTCAGAAATAGCCAATGGAGCATTTTTCACTGACTGGAAAAGAAACTGACATCATGGTGCTTTTCTTGGCTCGGGGCCTTAATTTTGTCATTTTTCATTTGGGAAAAAAATAGCATTCTTCAATAGAGTTTCCTAGTTGAGATTTCTGGATCTTTTATTTTATTTTATTATTTTATTTATTTATTTAGAGATCTCTGGGCCTTTTAAAAACCCCTGCTATCACCAAAACCAAAGTCGGTATCATGAATAACTATTCCACCATGGGATCTTTAGAGACTGCTTACTGTGCATGCACAGGATCCCCACCAGAGAGAACTGGAGACAACAACGCATGGGAGAAAGTTCAGGGAGATGAAACACCAAGAGGTGATGTGCCCGGGAAGTTCACAAAAGAACCCAAAGAAACTTGGATGAATAAGAGGTCATGTAAGACCTAAGTATCAAACATATTTGGTGAGTGATAGTCTACTGAAGTATCTTCTATTGAACTGTTGGCACCACAACTTCATATGTGATTTGGAAATATGAAGGAAGTTGCAAAATTTTATTACAACTTAGGGTCAGCAAAAATGACCAACGTAAAAATGTGTGGACCCCTACCTGTCTCCCTTAGAGAGGATATAGGGAAATTCTCGAGAAAAGATAGCCCTGGCTAAGGAGAGTGACCCCACCCCAAGTCTGGAGAAGGAGCTCTTCTGCCCAAGCACCTCAGAGACCTTCTTGTCATTCTCTCAAAAGAAAAACACAAGACAGAGCCTATAGGACACTTCCATGGGGCACAGGCAAGAACCTTTGCCAGTCCCTTCTTTATGCTGCAGTTTGGGAACACATTAAATACAAGCCAAGAGGAATGGAGAAACTGTAGTTGGTTAGAATGTCCCCTTGTAATGTCATATGCTCTCAGAAACAAATTAAACTTCTACCTTAAATTATTATATATTTTATTTATACATACACATTTATAAAAATGAGTTTATTTCTTTTTTTCTTTTGCATCCTCTTTTGTCATTTTGTCTTTTAGGATTTTGTTACTTCTTAGAGAACAAAGCTATTTTTATTTGCATCCTGTTGCATTTTTTAACTATTAGGAGCCCTCCTCAGGATTAGTTTCCCTTTTAAAAAAATTATCCATTGATTTTTCTTTCACATTGCGCTGGTGAATAGAGCAGTCTTTTAAAATTATTGTATATGATTTTTAAAGTTCAATATTAGCCACTTAAAAAAAACCCCTTTAAACCTACTTAATTTTCAATTGCTATGTAATGTACATAATTAAGGACATAGTTAAATTCTCAACTTGTCAAACTTACAGAGCCCCCCCCAAAACCCATGATAAACAGGGAGCTAAGAAGCTAACTCAGAAAAATCTGCCCAACCTTCCTTTTCCTAAAACAAAATTTCCTTCATCCCTCGGTGTGTAATTTTCTTCCCTTCACCTACTTCCACAAAGAGGTGGGACCCAACACACCTTGTTACCTGGACTGGAGGCCCACGCAGCAACCCAGACTTACTTGAGTGGTGGATGAACATTAAATATGATTTGAAATCTGGGGGGCTCCCAGTCTTCAGCCCCTCTGATCCTCGACTTAAGGGTAATTTCCTGAACAACATCCACACTGGATTCAAAGTCTTTCCGGACCCGCTCTTCATTCACTACCTACATAACAGAGAAGAGGATTGCAGAGCAACCTAAACAAGCACATTTCAGGAACTGAAAGAAAAAGAACATTCAAATGTGTTTCCAGCATTAAAATTGGCCATGAAAAATTAAAACTGCTTTCAACTGAACGAAAGGAGCCCTCCCTGTATCTAAAGCCATCTGCAGAAGACTTGCTTGAAACACCATCCAGCTGAGATCACTTTTCTTAGTATTTTTGGGAGTTCATTTGTTTCCAGACTTCAGATTGCTGTAAGTAGGTCATTGTGACCCAGAATGCTTTTATTCACAGCAGAAGCCTTACTGCTCTTAGTCCATAGGCTGCCAGATGCTGCCCACCAGAACCCCCAGCTGTTGTCAGACTTCCCCCGAAACTGCTCTTTTAAGATCATTCCCCTGCTTAAAAATGTCCAGTGGCTTCCCTCTGAACCATTCAACTTTCCTGTTTGCATTTAACATGCAAACTTCTCAAAGTAGCATTCTATGTCCTCCACAATGTGACCACATCCTTCAAACCTAATTTCCCAGGAAGATCAACGCCCCCCACACGGATACACACAAACACACGTTATCAGCCACACCAAGCCACCCTGCTCAATAAACATACCACGCACCACCACCATCACTTTTACTCCTGCTGCCTTTTGCCAAGCTCCCCTTCCATGTGTTTCTACCTGCTACCATTTTCAAGTTCTGAGATCTCCAACTGGCCTTCCCAAGTCCCCTGATAAAATTAAACACTCCTCCTCTGCACTTGCACAGTGCTTTATTCCTACCCCTATGTTAGCTTTGCCGCGAAGTTCTCTCCCCGCAGTGGGATGTGGGCTGTCAGAGGGCGGTGTGTCTACAAGGGACCAGGCTGGGCATGACTCCTGTTCTTCCACTGACCAGCCCTGCCGAGGGGCTGGAACTAACACTTTAAAGTAAACATAACAACAGCATCTACTTAAGAGGATACTGATGAGGATGAAAATGTGAAATGCTGAATTCCCTGGCGCATAATCAACACTCAATAAATGTCAGATTCATCCTTCATTTCATGTCTCCCCCAACACCCAGTGACCATACAAAGAAATGCATAAATGTCTGAAGTGAACAGCAGGAGAGAAGAGAGTTTAGGAACTTTCAATTCGAGGCCAGTTCATTTTGATACTTACTATTGAGCCAGCAGCATTTAGAGAATCTGCCAGTTGATGATTAACATCTGACAACATCCAGCGCTTCTGGAATACTCGGTACAACTCTTTGGCTATTAGCTCAGCAGAACTGAAGTCTGGCTCATAAATGATACTGAAAGGTAGGAGGTGCAAAAAGTGGAAAACTACATTCACGAGGAATATGTTATGAGTCTTCCTGTTTTCAATCATCCTTCCCACTCCAAAAACTCAGAAGAGGTGTCACATGAGGGAGCATGCACCACCCACCCACCGGCTGTCTTACTCAACACAGTAGCTTTTATTTATGGAGGATACCAAGACTGGGAAATGCGGTAAAAAAGCACTGGATTTGGAGCCCGAAGACCTGAGTTCAAGTCCTATCTCTGCTCATTTAACAGCATTATGTCCTGAGGCACATTTAGTCTGAGCCTCAGTTTCCACAAATATAAAAATGGGGTTAAAAACCCCACCCAGCCTGATTAAATGAGAATATATACAAAGGCCTTTAAACACTATATATATATATATATATATATACACACACGTATATATATAAACTATAGAAAGCTCTCTAGACATTTTAGTGGTGATTGTTTCATTGCTAAGTAGTAATCCCTGTCATTGGAACTGGCTGAATTTGGTCGGATATGTCAGAGGCCTGGTGTTCATAGTGCGTCAGAGGTGATGGCCCAGGGGTCTAGGGGCAGGTGGACACGAAGGAGAGATACCTCTTAGAGGAGCTGCAGGAACATCCACAGGTTTCTGTGATATTGCTAAACTCACCAAGTTCTGCAAGTAAATCAAAGAAAAGGTATTAAAGTATTTCAGTCTGTTTTACTAACTCACACTCAATTTTATAAGAACATAGAAATAAATCCCTGCATCTCAAAAAGAACTAGTTCTTCAGCATCTCCATACTTCAGGTTCTTTGGGTTTCTATTACAAGACTACAGCTAATGACCAAAGATGGGATTTCAAAATACACTCACCTGAAATTCCACCAAAATTTAACTGAGAGGCCAAACAGATCTCAGACTATAATGAGTATCTGCTTTTGCATTCAATTCTACAAGTGAGATGAGAGATTGATTATCAAGACATTTGAAATAAGAACATCCTTTTTTTTTTTTCCTGACATAATTTGATCTTGGGAGAAGCTTCTTTGAAAGCCACTATAACGTGGTACCACATGGGATGCATGTCAATATGTGTGTGGGGGAGGGGAAGTACGAGTCATCGCTGGTGAGTTTCCAAATCTTACCTACGATAACAAAGTCATCGAAATCACATTTACAGTCTTCTTTCAGCACATCACAGTAAGAGGGTGTCCCAGCCACGGGGCTGCCCTGTAGCATAGCACAACCTAGAAAAAGAAATGAAGGGGGTTTCACCAAAAAGAAGAAAAAAGAAAAACTGTCACAGCCAACTAACTAGAAACCGGGAAATAAAATGGGCCAAGAGTTTACATTCAAAGAGTTTAAAAATCCAGCTTTAAGAATTAAAAAATGTAGGGAGCTATTTTTGTGTTGTTCTTCCATTCACCGTGATTAAATGAAACAGACGGATGAGGATCTATAATGATGAGGGGGATCATAAGAGTTACCTGCCTACTTTTACGTGTGTTTGAAAATTTCCATAATACAAAGTTTTAAAAAAATGAAAGAGGGCAAAAATCAGCTTCACAGTGAGTCAAAGAGTAGAGGTGACATAAACATTGTACTGGGTTGAAGGTGTCCCCCCCAAAATTCATATCCACCCAGAACCTGTGAATGCGACCTTATTTGGAATTAGGGTCTTGAGGAATTAGATATGATGGTTAAGCTTAGGTCATACAGGATTGGGGTGAGCCCTAAATCCAATATGACTGGTTATATTATAAAGAGGGAAATCTGGACACAGACACTGACATCCAGAGAAGGCCACGTGGAGACGGAGGCAGAGACAGCAGTGATGCGTCTACAAGCCAAGAAACACCAGGGACCAGAAGCCAGGAGAGGCATGGAACAGGTTCTCCCGCAGAGCCTCCAGAAAGAACCAACCCTTCCAACAACTTCATTGCTGACTTCTGGCCTCCACAACTGAGAAAGAATACATTTTCTGTTGTTTTCAGCCACCCAGTTTGTGGTGTTTTGTTACAGCAACCTAAGGAAACTACTACAAATATATCCACGTTTTTCTATCCCGAATGCTAGCCTGGGGAATTATCGTAAGAATGTTGTCATTAAAAGAAAAAAAAGGTGAAAAAGGCAGGCTTTGATCAGAAGGAGCTATTTGCGGTCCATTTAAAATATTAAAATACCGAAAGCTACCTATATGCCAGATAATAGTAAATTGATATTGCAGATCATGTTCCTGACTCAAGAAATACCATCATGGAAAAAGGTGAAAACTGTAGCAACTTGGAAAACTGGATATGAAATACTGTTAATATAATGTAATCATATTATTAATGGAATTACATTAATATGAGTATGTAATCACAATGAAACTGTACTCACTTGAATAAACATAAGAGAAAAACACAGAGAAATGGATACAGTTGTTTAGGGAAAAATTCTAGCCCGAAGGTTATGCAGAGGTTACATGAAATCGCTTCACAGGGAACTGGTCAGGATTTAAAACCGCACTGCCTGGGTGGTGCAGTCAGTTAAGCATCTGACTTCACCCTTGGTTTCAGCTCAGGTCATGATCTCAGGTCCTGGGATCAAGCCCTGCATCTGGCTCCGTGTGCTCAGTGCGGGGTCTGCTTGGGATTCTCTCTCCCTCTCCTTCTGCCCCTCCTGCTCATCCACAAGTGATCTCGCGCTCCATCTCTAAGATAAATAAATAAATCTTAAAAAAAAATTTAAAAAACCCCAACAACACTGCCCCATCCTAGCTGGGTGACTGTGGGCAATGAACTTCTCAGCTTTGGTTTCCTCCTGGGTCTGACAGGGCAACCTCACCCACCTCGGTATTTCCCCGCCCTCTTTTGACCACGATCCACAATAACATACGTTCACATTGCAACTCAGTACAAACACAAAAATATATTTCACTGATTCAAAAAAAAAAAAAAAGTTCCAGGAAGCACTGCTCCCTCTAGGTGAGTTGAATGCTGATGCTTTCTATTCTTTTTGTTTGTTCTTAAATGCTCTCAAGACCAACCTGTAACTTAAAGTATGCTGACCTACCTCAAAGGAGAAATACCTACCACGAGAAATGTCACAAGAGAGATATGTGATTAAAAAATGCATATTTTTATTGGGGTGGAGAAATATTTTAAAATTTCATTTAACATATTTATATTCATATTAAAAATATTCAGGGGCGCCTGGGTGGCTCAGTCAGTTAAGCGTCTGCCTTCAGCTCAGGTCATGATCCCAGGGTCCTGGGACGGAGCCCTGCATGTCACCAGGCTCCCTGCTCAGCAGGGAGTCTGCTTCTCCTTCCGCCGTGCTCCCCCTGCTCATGCTCACTCTCTCTCTTTCTCTCTCTCTCAAATAAAATCTTTAAAAAAAATTTCTGCTGGACATGAGCTTCCACTCAGCCATTCAACAAATATCTCTAAAATACTATTTCTGGCAAGGCACTATGCTGAAGGCAAATTCAAATGAGACAACTGCTTATCCATCAAAGAGTTTAAAACCTCATAAGGGAGCCGAGACACTGACACACATAACCATGAGAAGACACAACTGCATGCCATGGGCCTTAAGAAGGCAAGCCTCCATGCTGCACAACTCCAGGAGGGAGTGAGGCATGCACGCGGACAATCATAGAGCATTCTGGTGCACAGCACACTTATGCTTCATTCCACGTGAATGGTGCCCTAGCCCTGTGATGCAACCTCGGAGCATGTCACAGTGCTGGTGGAGGGAGACTGCTCGCAAAGAATGAGAAGAATCAAGGAACCAATGTGAAGTTCCTGGGGACCCAGCATTCCCGGGAGCCTAGCCAAAGCAAAGGGTGGGAGGCAGAGGCTTGGGGAAATGTCTGTGGGCAAGTGTACCAGGCTCTTGTAACTAGAGCCCACGGTAAAACATAGGGAGATCAGGAGACGCCTGTTGGGAAGCTGCATCCCACAAGGCTAAAAATCCCAAGATCAAATGTGGTGCAATCTCAGCAGGCCATTTTAGAGGAGTAGAAGTTGTTCTAGAAAGACAGATGTGTGTGGGATCGATGAGGGGAAAGAGGCTGCAAATAAAGAGAAAATTAAAGCAGCACATGTGTCTTGAGGACCTAAAGGCACTTCTTACAGAATGACTGGCCAGAGGCTAATGTGATGGTGCAGGTCAAAGGCGGATAGGGAACGGATGGAGGGGATGTGTCATTATTACTCAGAAATCAGGGTTGATTTGTTCACTACAAATGGGGCCAAGAAACAGACACAAAAAAAGAAAGATTCAAAGATAAAGCACAGAAATGGGACACTGAAATAGGAATCATTTCTTTTCTCCCCACTGGTGGCCTCAGAGGGGATGATGATCCAATCACATTCCCTCGCTCCCCTGGCCATGGCTGGCTAACCAGTTGGGGACACCCAATCAAAGCAGGCCCCCTCATGTGCTCTTCCCTGGAAAAGTGGACCCTGCACGGGGTCCTGCAGGACGGGGTTGAGCTGTGCAGCTGGTTATTCAGGAAGTTTTAGAAAGTTTTAGACAAAGGATTTGAAGATCGACTTTGGGATGTGACAGGAAAAGAGATGTAAGTGGAGAACACAGCATAAAGTTTCTCTGATTTGCCCCACTTGCCCTCATAGCCGCTGTCAGAAGAATTGGAAGACCCAGATTCTTGCTTTATGTTGGTATAAAAGGTGACTTCAGAGTCAGCGTGGTCATTCCCAAGCGCCCCACTGGCTTCTTCCACACCCCAGTGCTCTGTGTGCTGTTGACTCAGGATGGTGCACTTAACTCTCTCCATTGCTGCTATAATCATATCTGCAACATAGAAGTGGGCGTTTTCCTGCAGGAAAAAGAAAAAGTACCCGTTAAAATAGTCACAAGCATAGTCGATTGTTTTTCATTGAGGGTGTACTGGATTGAAAAATCAAGAAGCTGTATTTAAGTGGAGTTAATGCATAGAAATATAAATGTTCACTTAACTGAGTGATCACAGGTCATTATATGAAGTATAGCCCATATCTTCCAGACATAAAATTTACTCCACTGCGACCAACAGACACCCCAAGTTGAATTTCTCGTGATATGAGACCCCGGGTTGGTGGTGGCCCAGGGGTAGACACCAGGCAGCAGTCATGGAAAACTTCCCAGCAGAGCACAGGCACTGACTCAGAGCCCTTCTTAGCTCAGTGCTCCTGCCAGAGGCTGAAATGCAACCACCTATCCGCCAGGCTTCATCAAGTGAAGTTTCCAGATTTAAATCACAACAGCACCATCTAAGGAATTAACACTCTCTGTGGTTTTAAAAAAAGAAAAAAGAAGCTGTGTTCACCTTTTCGACATCGACTGGGAGGAGAAATACCTCTGGAGAGAAGGAATTCGAAAAAGTAGTTCTTCCACTGACTTGAACAGCACCTGCCAATGCAGCAAGTTATTAAAAACGGAGAAAAAAAAGTTCAAAGATTCCCTAAGAAAACAAAACAATGCTAGGAAGTGGCTTTTAAATATTGTGGGGTGTTTGTTTGTTTGTTTTTGAATTAGCACAATTCTAGAATAAATTAGGATGCCAGAAGAAGACAGATCCTTCTGGTGTTAGGCTTTGCAGACATTGCCTTAATGGTGGTCATTTCTACAAAAACCTATCGGAGCAACTTGGCAGGAATCCTCAGAGAAGGGATGAGAGAGCCAATGGAATGGAGGAGACTGATGAGGTGAAGAGCGTAGGAGGAGAAGAGGATCATGGAAACTACCTAAAGGAGATGGAGAAGCATGAGAAAGAACAGTCTAGAAGCAGGGCCATAAGAATTATGGGATCTCTTCTCCCATGCACTGCAACTGACCCAAAACTTTTTTTTTTTAATTTTTAAAAAAGATTTTTATTTATTTATTTGAGGGAGAGAATGAGAGAGAGAGAGAGAGAGCATGAGGGGGGGAGGGTCAGAGGGAGAAGCAGGCTCCCTGCTGAGCAGGGAGCCCGATGAGGGACTCGATCCCAGGACCCCAGGATCATGACCTGAGCCGAAAGCAGACGCTTAACTGACTGAGCCACCCAGGTGTCCCCCAAAACTTCTTGTTTACAGAAATAAACCTGTCTGAAAAAGGCCAGCGTTGCTTCTCTAAAATGGTCTTCCTGCAGACAAAAACCAGAAGAAACTGCCGAGGGTAGATTCAGCTGACTCATCCATGCTCCCCCCCGAAGCCACTCCATTACTGGCAGCGGACACCATCAAAACAAAACGACTCTGGTCATGTGATTTCTTCTTGCAGCATTTAAGGCAAAACATTTCCGTGAGAGCCCTGAGAGCTGAGTTGTTCAAATTAGACCAAAATGCCACAGATGGTTTCAGGATTATACAGCTCTCAGGGTGACGAAGAGCGATGCGAGCAGGATCGCCCAATCCCTTGCCTCTTCTTCAAGAAAGTGACTGTTCCATGAAGAACCTTGAATCTCTGAGCTTCAGAAGCCATCAGGGGTGGGCAAACGTTTTCTGAAAAGGACTGGGAAGTAAATACTGTAGGATCTGAGGGCCATCTGTTGCAACTATGCAGTTCTGCCACTGGGGTGAGGGAGGCGCTATGAGCAACATGCACAGCGCTTTATTTGTAACATCAGGAGGCCAGCCGGAGTTGGCCCACAGGTCATAGCTTTTGGACCCCGAGTATAGACAAAAAGGGACAGAGGAGAGTCAAAATGTGGATTCCGATTCTAGTACAGCAACTGGCTGGGCCTCTGCATTGAAATGTCCTCATCTTTCACACCAGGATAGGGAGCTCTTAGGAGATTGAAGGAGACCAGGAATGTGAGTGTGCTCTATAAATGAGTAAGTCCTCTGCAAGCAAAAGGATCTGTGGATTTGTTTCTTGGGGCCCCAGGAAATGCTTCTAGGCTTGGGGAGTGGGTGGGTGGGTCTTCCTCTACCATATTATCTAGAAAAAGAATACCATGCTGCTGTCATTGGGACGAAGCAGTAACAGGAAAAATCCCTTGTCTTAGTGGCAAATGCCTATTCTCTGCAATGCTGTCCCACAGCAAAGAAAGACCAGATCGCTGGGGACTTCTTTTTTTAATCCCATGGGCTGCATCCTCCTACCAAGTTTAAGATGGAGTAGTTTTTAAAGGAACTTAGAGAAATTCCTGGGGGTTATTGGCTTAGGACAAAAGGGGCTGGGGTACCTGTTTTCTTTCTGGGAGAAAGACAAAGCTACAGGATAATTTAAAAATGCAGAACCCCTTGCTGTAGAGTGTGTCATTTTGCTTATTTCAAAACTAGCCCATTTTAAGATTGTCCAAAATCTGCTATTCTTTTTTTTTTTAAAGACTTATTTATTTGACACAGAGACACAGCGAGAGAGGGAACACAAGCCAGGGGAGTGGGAGAGGGAGAAGCAGGCTTCCCGTGGAGCAGGGAGCCCGATGCGGGGCTCGATCCCAGGACCCTGAGATCATGACCTGAGCTGAAGGCAGATGCTTAACGAGTGAGCCACCCAGGCGCCCCTGGTGAACTATTTTTTTTTTTTAAGATTTTATTTATTCATTAGAGAGAGAGAGAGCACAAGCAGGGGGAGAGGCGGAGGGACAGGGACCTGAGCTGGGAGCCCGATGTGGGGTTCGATTCCAGGACCCTGGGATCATGACCTGAGCCAAAGGCAGACGCTTAATGACTGAGCCACCCAGGAGCCCCCAAAATCTGCTATTCTTAAGCTATGAATAATATGTTAAAGATTGTCATCATCTTCGACTTTTCAAAAGTTTTTCCAATAGAACAAATAAACCCCATAATTTAAGGAAGGGGGAGGACTGGTTCTTGCTAGTAAGAAATAAATAAATACCTACATACAGACACACACACAGGCAGGCAGGCAGCTTTCAAATTGCTTTGAAAGAAAAAGACTTCATTGATTATCTGAACTAGGGTTCTAAGAAAAATATAAATTAATGCAGTGAATATAACATAATGAATATTTTTTAAAAAATTAGAATGTCACAAATTCTAACAGTAATAGATAACTTACTGACTCTTGAGTGGCATTTTGCACACATTATCTTATTTTAGGAATTCCAGTATTTTTAAGAATATGTGCATTACAGGGCGCCTGGGTGGCTCAGCTGGTTGGGCGACTGCCTTCAGCTCAGGTCATGATCCCGGAGTCCCAGGATCGAGTCCCGCATCAGGCTCCCAGCTCAGCAGGGGGTCTGCTTCTCCCTCTGACCCTCTTCCCTCTCGTGCTTTCTATCTCTCATTCTCTCTCTCTCAAATAAATAAATAAAATCTTTAAAAAAAAAAGAATATGTGCATTACTTCATAGCAATGGGAGCCCTGGCTTTAATTTAAAAAAAAAAAAAGGTTTTGTATAGTCTTTGGGGGAATTGTGATGACTATTTTTAAATCTTACTATTTTCTAGTCACACGCCGTTCAGGGAGAGGTGAGGTGAGTTTATCTCCTAGGAAAGTACTTGTGTGAAAAAGAGCCCACTCTGTCTGGAAACACTTTCTCCCACCACACTGAATTGAGAATGCCCCCAATCCTCTCTTTTGCGGGCAACTTCATGAACTGGAAGCTCCTGAAGGCACACACCAGCTCAAAGATGGCATTGATTATCAGCTAAGCTGAGCAAAGATGGCACCTCCCTGCTATCGAAGAACGGAAATACCTGATTTTAGCCGGTGTGACTATCCGGGTAGCTGGGCCGGGGACAATATTAAATGAGCTAATGCACCGGCCTCTCATCAAAGTGGAAAGCCATGACTTTTTTCTCGTGAGGAAGACAATAAGACGGGCTGTAGACCAAGGCCAGCATGGGAACAGACGGGAATGAGGTAAATTCCTGACGGGAGTTACCTTCATCGGTAGAAGCTGTCAGCTGGGAAGGCTGCAGCAAAGCATGGTCAGCTTCAGGACCAGGAGAGGAGCTTGTGAACAGAAACATCTGAGGAGAGTGTCCTAAAACCACCGCCTGCTCTTCTGTGGAGGTAAAAGAGAGGTCGCTGCTTTTGTCACCTGAGCGCTGGGCAGAGTCTACAGGATCTTTTGACAGTGATGTCTCCACCGTGGAGTCCCCAAGAGACAATGGTGAGGGGCCGAGGGGAGAGGCAGTGTCCCCTCCAAAGTGGCTCCCACTGTGCCCCCTTGTCGGCACCCGAGGGGGCAAATCCTGCAGCTGTTGCTGCTCACACTGGGGGTTAATCCAGGAAGCTTTGTGCCTCATGAACCTGACGTCTGAGTGGCAAGGGGACTGGTCAGTGTCCAGGAGGCTGGGAGAACCATCAATGTTGCCAGGGTCATTGCCGTCCCTTTCCCACAAGTCCACCGGAGAATCCTGCCGGCCTGTAGACTGTGACACCATCTTTCCAGGCTCAGGGTGGTGTGAGTTCTGCTGTGCTACTGGATTAGGGCCTTGAACTCACCAGGAGGCCAGCCAGGGGCCAGACAGCTTATCTGCAATGAGCAAAAATCATTCAAGATAAATAAGAACACAGTCATATTTTTAACTCCAAAATCTTTTGAGGAGAAGAAACAAAAGATAAATAAGTTTGTACTTCACCCTGTACAATACAGTAAATTCCACTTGGATTTACAAGAAATAACTAAACAAACAGATCAATCAATCAATCAATCAATCAGCAATACAATTAGCAGCAGACACAGGAGGCATGACTTTGGGATAGGAAAGGGTTTTCAAGGCATAAAGATAACTGAAGATTGCTTTTATATAAGGATAAAGTCATATATGCATACTGTTGATAAAACAGATTAAAGTGTAAGGCAGCCGTGCATTATTCCAATAAAATTAAATGTCAAACCCCAAAATGGGAACACCATTGGGAAGTAAAGACACATTTTTGTCGTTTCTTAGTCTCTTGTTTTTATTTAGTCTGTGTTTGTATTTCAAAAATTAGACAAGTGGTATGTGAAATTGAGGACAACCGCTAGCACTAAAAACTTTGTTTCATGTAACTTAGATTATAATACTGAATTATAATAGCTATGGGGGAGAATTTGTGATTAGCTTATAATATCTAAAGAACACCCTGTGAATCTAGGGTTTATCTTTTCTTTTCTTCTCTTTTTCTTTCTTTCTTTCTTTCTTTTTTTTTTTTTTTTGAGAAAGAGAGAGAGAAGGAGAAGGGACACAGGGAGAAAGAGACTCTTAAACAGGTTCCATTCCCAGCGTGGAGCCCGATACAGGGCTTGATCTCACAACCCTGAGATCATGACCTGAGCCGAAATCAAGAGTCGGCTGCCTAGCCGACTGAGCCACCCAGGCATCTGTCCCAGTTTGCTCACGTTTAAGCTCAGTGTTTGGCTCTAGTAAATAAGTCATGATTAAAATGTCGAGAGCTACTCCAAAGAGAAGCACTCTGGTCACCGTAATCACAGACCCAGCATGTGTCCTATAGCTCCCACTGTCCTTCACCCTGTGAGGCTCAAGGCAACCTTCAACAGCAAAAGTGAGGTCAGCAAGGGGAAGGCCTAGAGATGGAAGCAGTCGGCTTAGGTGAGCTTAGCTTAAAGAAATGGTGGAGAACAGAGGTACAAGGTGGTGAGCTGAGGCTTTGGAGTCAGTTTCAGTGTTTTAAATACTAGTGTTATGTATATAGATGGCTCCCACCTGGATCCCTGCTTCTGACCTCCCCTGGGACCACAGGCTAGCATATCTTACTGCCTTTCCGACATTCATCCAGGGGACATCGCAAACTAACACATCCAAACAGACCCTAATTTCCCTCAAATCTGCTCCTCCCTGGTTTTCCCATCCCAGGAAACATACCTCCCAGTTGCTGAAACCCAAAATCTAGAAGTGATCTCTGATCCTATCTTTCTGTAGCTCTCCATCTTTAACCCATTAGCAAGTTCATATCCATAGCTACCACCCTCATCTAAGTCGCCATCTTCTCCCACCTGGGCTTCCTTCCATCTGCCCAGTGGGTCTCCCTGCTCCTACTCTTGACAACTTATAATTAAGAGGTATGCAAAGATCTTTTATAAGCCTACATCAGATGTCAGTCCCCTAATCACCCACCCACCCCCATCCCATTGAATCTGGAATAAAATCCAAAATCCTTACCTTGTCCTTAAGGCATGACATGACAGTGCAGACCACGTTCACTTATCTCTGTCCACCCCTGATAACTCCCAATCACGCAGCAAACTCTTACGTCCCACGGGCTCTTGCCCACCCTACCGGTGCTCCTCCTGGACCGCTCTTCCCCCAACTGATTGTACATCTGGCTCCTTTCTGCCTTGTTGCATGCTTTGGTTTATAAATTACTTCCTCAAAGAAGTCTTTCCTAACTACCTCTCTTAAAGTAGTTCCCCACTTACTCCCTATCACATAACCTTGCTTAATTTTCATCATAGTCGTCCCCCTTCCTGATATATTTTTACCTCTTCACTGTCATTCCCCTCCACCCCTTCCCTATAAGTCCACGAGAGCAGGGACCTTGTCTGTTCTCAGCCAGATGCAGAGCTGCCTATGGGGGCTCAACAAACTTACAGACTGAATGAGCAAATCCAACAAAATGGAAATAGTGTCATGAGCTAGAGAGAAGATTTCTGTGGTAGATACACCTGTTCTGTTACTCTGGCAGAATTATTCATACAGGGATAGAAGTGAATCCATGTTTCCTAAAGATAGGACATTTTTCTCACCCAACACTTAAAAATAGACCAAAGGAAGGTACATGGGAAAACTGTACCACAATTCCTTGGTTTTTCTTGATTTGGGGGCCTTTCTTTCTAGGTCAAACCTTTTGACCTACCCATAGATAAGATACACATAATACTGCACAGTACTGCATAAGCTCCAAATCGCTGCCCACCAAATATCACGGGCTATGGTGGCGACTGCCAGAATTCATCTGAAGTGCTTCGTCTTCCTTCTCCAAACCTCACATCTCACCTGGTGCCCCGATTTCTCTTCATTGCCCATCTTTTCCTCTCCAATAATTTTGGGTGTCATCATTACAAATGGGAACCACGACTGTGTTTTTATGGAATGCCCAAAACACAGAAGCCTAGAGTGAGTGAAGCACACACATGGGCCCAAACCCGCCAATCCCACCTCACGCCCAGAAATGACACTGGTAACCACTTTATCCCTTCCAACCTCTTCCTATGAGTTAACATACATATGTCAGATCAGAAGATGGGACCCATACACATGGGCTCATACTGGACAGAATCTATAATGAACCTTCTTTTTCTCTCAACAAGGTCTTGAGGGTGCTTATCACTCTTCACTATCTTACCATTTTCTATAGTATAAATGTATCAAAATTTACTTAGCCAGACTCCTATTGACGGAAATTTATTTTCAGTTTTTCACATACAGCAATGAATATCTTTGTGTTGCTTTTTGTAGATTCTCTCACTAGATCTCTTCTCTTACAAGTTCCAATTTTAGTTCTGAGTCCGTAGTTCCTGATAACGTCAGTATTTCCAAGAGAATGAAGCTAGGAGTCATGTTTTACGCTCAATTCTCTACACATCATAGCTGTTCTTGTGTGGGGGAGATAAGTATAGATGTGAAATCACATAAAAATGCACAGCCTCCAACCAGTGATAAGTAGCAGTGATCCCTGTGTTTTTTAGTTCAAAAAGAACGATGTTATTTATGAGCCTTCCAGATATGGAATTGACTTAACTGCACTGAATGAAACAGACTTTCTTCTCAAAAGTAATTTCAGAAGCAGGCGCTTGCTCCACTTCCTTCTAGAAAGATGTTCTTGTTTCCCACAAATAAACAGCAGGCGTTGGCTTTTCTGGGTTATAAAATGAGAACATGTTAGAGCTGGAATAGGCCCGTAGAGATTCAAAGCCATGTCTAAGGACCCAGCTGAGTAGTGGCAGAGAAAGGATGACAAGGTGGGTTGGACACTCATTAAGGAGCATGAGTTTCTCTGGGAGGGAGACTGACACAGGGGAGAGCAATGATTCGAAACAAAGTCCAGGCCCTGGTCCCCAAGGTCAACATCTCCATTGCTTGATCTTTGGGGCAACAGATAATTCATGAGATACCATCATATCATTGCATTGCTCGTTGTCACCTTGCTCGTAGTTTGTTAATTATTCAATTAAACAAATATTTACTGAGCATCTACTACATGCCTGGCATGGTTTTTGTTTTGGAAGCACCGGAGTAAAATAAGCTCCATGATTCCTCCAGTAGTTTATGTTCTGGTAGAGGGGACATGGTGACTAACCTTACACATTCATACATTTCAGTGCTGATAAGCAGGAGGTAATATGGGCCTAAGTGATGGTTGGCATCTTCCCAAAATGCTCCCGACTATCATAAATGGGGAATCAAAGAGGCTTAGATACAAAGATAAAATCAATTTCCAAAAACATTTTAAAGGAAGAGGAATCAAATTGCAAAGCGTACCATCATTTCTATTGAGATTTTCCTATTGAGGGTGAGCACGGGCCAGATTACTAGTTAATATATATGCAGCAGCAACGGTCCTAGACAAAAGAGAGACTCCTGGACCCCCCCTGCCAAGTCATTCTGGATGGGTCTCTGGCCCTCAAAGTCAGTGGTTCTGTTGAGAAGGACTGCATCATGAGGGCAACCTCAGAGCCAGAGTATTGTGGACAACTCAGTTGGGCATGAGCCACCATGACCTCTATAGTGACCTCACAAAAGTCTTTCAGACCATAACTGGCCAGCACTTTGATGGCAGAAGAGCAGCTTTGAGCTGCTAAGACCCCTAACAATCTTATGAATAGGCACAAGCAGGTCAGATTTAGGGTTTTAGATTTTCTCTGCCCCAACACGAACTACTGACTGGAATACATTACTAGGAGCATTAAAGACTCATCTTAAATGTTACCATCTCAGCAATGGCTCCATGGTCCCCCCATATAAGTCACGGCAACTGCCTCAGCCAGGAATTCTTCTCCCCCTACCCACCTCTAGTTTTCTTTTTACTCCTTAGCACGAATCCCCATCTTATTTAATCTCAAAGACTAACACCCTCTAGAATGCAAAATCTCTGAGGTTCTTAAAAAAATTCTACCTGGACACGACTTTTGTTCCCAGAATGTAGAACAGGCCGCATAATAGGTGCTCAGCAAATACATTCTTCAAGTGTGAATAAAATGAATGAAAGAATGAACGAACAAACAGTACCTAAGTATGGCTCTGTTGGTTATTCCTGTTGCCCAAGAAAGAAAGTCTAGAATAGAAGAAACTGGAGATCACGACCTAAAATTTCTGTCAACCATTTCCTTAGAATAAAGGAAGTTAGAGAATAGAAATCACAAGTAAGAGTTGAAGTGAAAGATAAAATTCATTTATGCCGATTTTCGGGTGGCTTCCTGAGCGTGCTCAATAATAAACAAATGCAAGTGAACAGACAGCGTGTCAGCTATTTGGGGTTAACACAGTTCCCCAGTCTTCTTCCCATCTTTCCGCATCTACTTCCCTTCAAACTTTGACTTTAAATAGACTCACATCCCCGAAGGATGGTGACAGACTCACACTATCACTTGTCAAACAGAAACCATTAAGATGCCCAATCAAGCGACTCCATAGCTTCCACAAAGTGGCCAGGAGTCAGAGTAAACTGCCATTTTCATACAGCTGCAATTTCACCACAACACATGCTGAACTCTGTGTTCTGACACGAGAAGCACCAGGAAGGAAACAGGGCAATATTGCAATGGTGGCTGTGGCATCGCGCAGACTTCTCTCCGACGAACTTGACCTTTCACAATGATCCCTAATTTTGAAGGTCTGCTCTCAAAAGAACCCAGAGGAAGGACAGAAAGCAATTATGACAAATGGGTGTGGTGAGAAGGGGAAGACCCAACAAAGGCAAAGACCAAGGAACATAGATATTTTGCCTAAGAAAATTAAAAGGTTGCCCAAGATACACAAATGACTAACTTCCTGTGGTCACTGTGTATGTCACACTTACCACTCTCATTCTATGCGATGATAACTTGAAATATTTCAGGTTTTAGCATGCTGATTTGGGAACTGAAATAATGTTACGGGACTTGCCCAAAGCCTCAGCATGAATAACTACAGGAAGTAGAACAAAAAACAAGTCTGACACCTGATCCAAAGCTCCTTCCACTGATATTTATGTGTGCCATAAATATTAGGATAATCGCAATTTCATTGGCAAAGTAATTTTAAGAATTTTCCCAAGAGATCTGTCACAAAACAAAGGATTAAAAACCATACCACTATATTTGATTCCATGTTTTTAGAACACCATGCCAGGAATTTTATGATCATACCTATTTATAAAAAAACAAACAAAATCATTGTACATACATCTCCAGTATGGGACTATTTATTTATAAACCTTATATGTGCATAGCTATTCTAATAAATTGTGTAACTTAAAAATTCATGAAAATAGCACTCTGTTCTTCCTTTCCAATAAATCATCTTGTATCCTAAAGGTACATACCACCATTCAAATAGTAAAACCTTCTCTATATAAAAACAATAATAAACAAAAAATTACCTATCCATGAATATTAGACAACTGAATAAGACTTACAAAAATATTAATACAAACATTTATGCAAAGTAAGGGTAGGTACCTACCCTTGAATGATGGCGAGGTTCCCATGTTTGAGTAAAATAAAATGGGGAGCCATGTCAGAAAACAGTCTGTCAGTTCCTCAAATGGTTCAACATACACTTATCATTTGACCTAGCAATTCCACTCCCGGGTATATACCCGAGAGAAGGAAAGCAGGCACATGCACACAAATGTGAGTGGCAGCACTATTCACAATAGCCAAAAAGTGGAAACCACCCAAATGTCCATCAACTGATGGATGGGTAAGCAAAGTGTGTGACCACCAGAGAACGCAGTATTATTCGGCCACAATTAGAAGTGATGCATTAAGACATGCTGCAGTGTGGGCGAGCCCTGAAAACATTATACTAAGTGAAACAACCAGTCACGAAAGATATTTCATATTGATAGATGTTTTTTTATGAAATTTCCAGAATAGGGAAATCCATAGAGACAGAACATAGATTAGTGGTGTTTCAGGGGAAGGAGAGGGAATGAGAACATAAACAGTGATAATTAAAGGGTACAGGGTACCTTTTTGAGGATCTAAATGTTCTAAAATTAACTGTGGAAAGGATGACACATATCTGTGAATATACTAAAACCACTGAACTGTACACTTTAAAAGTGCATTTTTTTTTAAAGATTTATTTATTTGAGCGGGAGGAGGGAGGGGCAGAGGCAGAGGGA